GCCTAGAGAATCATAAAGCCATGGACCATAAATTTAAGGGAGTGTTTCTACAGGCACTGGGGATGAAATTACTCCTGGAATATTGAAATTATTTAAAATTCCATCTTGCTAGAAAGTACTGGCAGCCTGAAAGAACAAAAAAGCACCAGACAACTTGAGAGCCTCACACATAACAAAAGATTAGAAGAATGGCTTTTGAGCCAAAAGACAAGCAGTGATTTTGACATGAGCACAAGCATGGAGGTCAACTACAGAAACACGGCAGAGATCTCATTTACTTTATAGCTGAATCAAGGGATGTAGTTCCTATACATTTATTCCCTGATCTAGATACAACATGGCTAAAATGATGCATTGTGTAGCTGGGCCACAGCGGGGCCAGAGTCCCACACAAGCAGCAGACTAAACAACGTGCCCTGGCCACAGCACCTCCTTGGAGAGCACTCCAGAGCAGGGGCAGCCAGTGGTTGGCAACTACATCTGGTAACCATGTCCCCAGGCACCAACACACACAGGGAGTGTTGGGCTAATGTAGGACATTGTTGCAGAAAAAATGTCCTTTGACTATTAGGCAGCAAATTCCAGTAGTGTGACTGGCTGGGAGGCAGGTACCCACAACAGACCCACTGCCAACAGCTGGGGAGTGCCTAAATCTAGATTGGGCAAAATATTAGAGACTATGCAAACTCTGCAGTGGCTCAGCACAGACAGGCAGACAACTGACTTGTGGGATGCTGGAGGTCTGCAGAGATAGCAATGGATCTTGGCCTTCTCTTCATCTCTGATTGCTGCCCTGCCAGCCTTGGAGTGCATTATTGTTTATTACCCAGAGGGGATAGCTGAATTCCTTCTACAGCAACAATATTTTTTTGTGATGCCAATGCCATGACCTTTATTCATGAAAAACAAAGTACAAATGGGGAAAGCAGGGTGGAGCTCTGTCAGAAATGTGATGTAAACAGCTACAAAGATGTGGCTGTGCTCCTCCAAAGCCATTTCCCACCAGGTAAGGATCAGAGCAACAGGCATTGCAAACACAGCAGAGATCCTATCTGATATTTTGTTAAGCTAATTGCCTATACCTGACAGCAAGGCTTAATAAAAATTGACAAATTGAACTTTTGGTCAGATTAGACAACATCAACAACAATAGTTTCCAAAGGATTTACGGAAACAAAATCCCGTTCCAGGTATCTGCTGACATTTTAAAAAAGCCATCTTCTTTTCTAGCATTCATGAAAATAACATGAACAATTGAGTAGGAGAAGAGTTCCCATTTTGTTGTGGAAACAGTCTCCGCAGTACCCTTGAAAATTCATCCTGAGGCAAGTTTGAAATAATTCATGCTTTTGCTCTTACAAAAATATCTTCATGTTTAGAGCAAACAGCTGTTTTGCTGGTGGAAAACAGCAGAAACATGACCTGTATTTAACCTGTATCTTAGTGGGAGAACTGGGAGCTTAGTCTCCCAGTAGGGATGCAAAATTCAGGCAGTGACACATGTAAAGACTTCTGGGGTGGTATGAGTTCAGCTTGAGGGGAAACCTGAGTTGAAGCCAGGTGGGGTGGCCATGTGGCAGTGTCCTCTGCTCTGGCTGGAGGTGGTGCCTGTGTCCTGAGCTCCAGCAGGCCAGGGGATGTGCCCGATAGATGCTGTACCACTCTCCATACCATTTCACAGGTCCTCCAGAGGCACTGGATGGAAAAGCTCCTGGGGTCCACCACACCCTCCACTGTGTGCCTCTGCTCCATGACTTCTTCAGCTCTGCCACCAGGCAGTCCCAGGCCCTGCTGCTCAGGATGATGCCTGGTCACTGCCACAGCCCAGCCTGGCCATGCAGCTACTCCATGATGCCAATGGCCTCCAGCAGCCCTTGCTATGGGGCAGCAGGGGTCAAGGGTGACTTTGTGAATGTCAAGGGCATCCCAAACGCACTTTGGCTGCTCCACAGTTTGCTGGGATATGCTTCCCAGGGAAAGATGGGAGTATAGGGGCAAGTTTTCACACTTCTCTCCATGAACTTCATAAGCCAAACAGACAGATTTGCAGAAGTAAAAAGGAGAATATTTGAGGATTTTGGCTGACATAGAGAGTAAGAGACAATTGCTCAGTGCTACAGGCAGCTTGTGACCAACTGTTGACAAAATATTAACCATTTGTGGCTTATTTAATAATAAGTGATAATATTGGACTTTGATACAAATTAGAGCTGACTAACATTGACCAAAGAGATTTAGAGGCCCAGGTCTGGATCGTTTGTGCTTCGTGCTGAGCCTATTCCACCCTCTCCCCTTTCCCAACCTTCTCATGTACAGACAACGAAGCGGGATTGCTCTGGCTGGGACAGACAGGCAGGAATTGCTCTCTGCAAGGATGCACTGCTGGGTTGGTAGTATTGCAGCACCCAGATAAACTTTACAAAACAAGTCTCTGCCCAGGTTGGGACATAAGCATCAGGTATCCCAAAAGAGAAATACAGGGATGCCACGGTGAATATTGCTGAATTTATTTTAGGCCACGGAGATTCCGGCTGAAAGATCACTTGGGAGCATGCCAAAGGTCCAGAAAAGGTAACTGCCTGGGCAGGATCAAGGTCACCCACGCCTGAGAGCCACTGGCGTCCCCTCAGTGACACTGCTACACGGAGCAACGTGCTGCCAGCAGAGGTGGAAGCCCAGGCATCTCCTCGGAGCACGCGGGAATGCTCGGAGTGTTTGTGGCGCGGCGGTGCCAGGGCACGGCGGGCAGGGCCGTGCCAGGCTGCGCTCCGCGGGCAGCGCGCGGATGCTGCCGCGGCACTCCCGCCCCAGCTCTGCCTCCCTGCCACCACCAGATGCAAGCAATTTGTTTTGCATTTGGACTGGTAGTCTGGAAAACCGAAGCGCTGTGTTTTTAAGTTTATATTATATGCTTGCTTTCCAGTTATGTTAATTAAAATCATGATACTGGATGAGTGGTTGCTGGATAGCTTGCAGGGTTCATTTTAAATTTCTTCTTTTTTCTAGATGCTCAGGCATTTGAAGCTCTTTCTCTGCTTGCAGTGCATTAATTCACTTAGCTAGATATTCCATCTGTTTGAAACTTATACAAGCATGCATTTGGGAATGGTTTTGTTTCTTACATTATTTTCTCCCAGTGTTTGCCTATATCTTCCAATGTAATTTGTCAGAATAAACGAAGTATATGAGGAGTGTATAATTTTCAGTTATACACTCCTCATAACTGTTTCAACATCACTTTGAGAGGGAAGGGAGCAGAGGGACCCATAAGCAAACAGAAAGAAATATGAGCATGTATGAATTCACTCAAGTGATCACTCTTCTTCTTCTTTGGTGAGTTTAATCCATCAGTTTTCTGGAGCCATTGTGTAAGTCATGAAGGCTCAACTGCCTCCACTGTACATTTTTGGACTATTTTCCACTGTGATCTCTACTGTCACCTGGGATGTGCTTAGACCAACACTGCCAGCTCAATAATCAGCTCCGAATGGAAATGGAAGTGGTTCTGCAGAGCAGCCTCAGACTCTGTTGACCTTTTATTGCTTTCAGAGTGGGTCTGCCACAACTTCTTCCCTGTCTCCCAACTCACATCTCCTGTGGCTTCCCACATTCCATATCAACTTTGCTGATCCCATGCAACAATCTTGACTTGGCAGGATGTGTTGTGCAGGCCGTGCAGCAGCAGAATATTTATCTGCAGCATGGCAGGTGTGTTACTAGCAGGGAAAGAGGCATATTCACCATGTGCATCATCTCCAAGCACACCTTGTGCTACTGGAGCAGTGCTAACAGAGCACTTGGTCCAGTGAAGGAACATCACTTAAACTGCCCAGATGTGGAGCTTTGCTTCCAGGACTGAAAACGTTGAGTGTGGACATGTGCAAGGATGGGTCAACATTTGCAGCGTTTGTTCTGGTCTGCAGACAAAGCTTGGAGTCACTCAGCAAAGCTCACCCGTGCTTCACCACGCACAAGTGAACATCACCTGAGCTCAGCAAAGCCTTTCTATGCAAATCCCAACTGCTCTGCATTGTGTCAAACAATGACTCCAGAATTAGATCCTACAAGATGTCTTTTTTTATTTTTTTTTTCCCTTTTAGCAAGTACAATCAGTGACTTAGCCTTTTCAGGGCTTATATCTTGGTTATTAATACTACCATTACCTTCTTTTGGAAAATTGAACTCATGTGATAGAGGACTTTTATGTGTCAAATTCTGATGCAGAAATTCTGGTATGAGTGCTTCTGTAAAATACAGAAGTGGAAAATTGAGGTTCTATGGTAGGAAATTATTTACTTGGGTGGTTTGTTTAATAAATTGTATATGATTGGGCCAGCAAAGAATAATACCAACATCAAAAAAATCAATTACCTGTTGATCTTGTCCTGTTTCTGGCAAATTTAGGCAGGCATTGCAGGATTTTATAGCAAATGTTATGTAATAGTTCAGGCAAAAAAAATATTAAAATAGATAAGTTATCATATATCTAGTACTAGGTAATCAGATTAAAAAGAAAAAAACAAACAACAACTGGGAAGTGCAATAATTGGATTTGCTAATGCCACATAAATAAAAAGATGAGTACATATTTGGATTGTTTCACAGGGCAAGTGCCACAGAATTTTCCCTAGGGAGCATTCCTCTATTGGCAAAGTGTGGTCAAATGCAACAAACAAAGCTTTTTTGTCTTTAATTATTGTGATTCTGTTTAAGAATTAGAAGACGTCAATTTTAGCATGTGGAATGCAGTTGGGAAAGAAATTTGGTTTCCTGAATTTTCAGTGACTGACTAAAATTCACACACATACTGCCTATTTTAATTTAAGGAAAAAGGATTTTGTTTCTTTATCCTGTTACATAACCCTGGATCTATTCTCCCTTGAACACACAAGTATGATTATCATTAATCTTAAAGGGAAACAGTTGTCTTTCAAAGTCCTTTCTGAATTTCTGATTTTTTACCTTTTTTTTAAGTTAGATCCCAAATGACTGAATATGAATTGAAGATGAAAGTACATTGTTTATTTTTAATTAGATTACTTTAATCTCATTTATACATGGTTCTTCTACTGTTCTTCCCATCAGCAATAGTGAAGAAAAAAACCATTGTTTTAAAGTGACTTCCAAAATACAAAACATACGGTTCATACAGCATCCAGCAGGAGACAGACTACCTGTTATTGCTTTTTTAGCTCATTTTTATGAAACTGGCTGGCTTTCAGTTCAGAGACATTCTTTAATAATACTTACATTTTTCATTCTATAGTGCATTCCTCTCAAGGATTTTAAATTGCTCAGGAGATCTTGAAAATCCCAGTGAAAACCTTTGGATATATGAGAGGTTTTTATTTTCAGGTAGCTGACTCTCAGTTAACTTGAGACAGTCACTTTTTTCAAAAGCCAGCGTGACCACTTTGGTTCCAGGCTGTTTGGTTCCCTCTGTGTTTGCCCCTCACTTTAGGAATCAGCCACTGTAAAGTAACAGGCATTTCCAAACTCAGAAAGGACCAGTCCAGCCTCTCAGCCCTGCTAAGTGCCTTAAGTTAATTTGTAATTAGCTTGATGTAAGGAAAGGACCAGTGCAGGCAATCGCATAATGGCTAGGCAGTCTCAAATATAAGCAAAATAGGCCAGTCAGAGCATTAAAACAAGAGAATTTAATGCCAACTGATTGCTTTGCAAGCATTCAGGCATTTCATTGCCTTTGTGTTTGACTTGTAAACTGGGTGCAGAGCTCTATCACTGGCAGATAGTGATACCAAAAACACAGGTCATGTTTTGGTTTCTGTTTGATACCTTATTTATATATGATTTACATGGATAAACTAAGAAAAATAAACTGTCCAGGCCATAATTTCATCTAAAATAAAGACAAACTAAAATTACAGCAAATTAGTGGATTGCATGGATTAGTGAGATATCCTGGCATGTAACAGCAATAGCAACAATTTTTTCCCCAATTTAGTAACGCTTAAAATCTGCAATCCAGAGTCACTCCATGATATGCAAATCCCTTACAAAATTTGCTTCCCTTTTTCAGGCTCAGGATCCTCTGCTATACAGGGAAACCCCAAAGACTGACTCAGTATCATTTTGTATTGGAAATTAATGTATAGAAAATCATTAGTGCAATGGATTTATTCAGACCATCTTTTTGCCATTCTTGCTTACACAATCCTTTACAGACAGTGCTGTCCATTTCTCTCCTATATTTCTCCTGGACTTCATGCCTGGATGAACTTTGGTTTTTTTAATTTTAATGTTTAATCATAAAATCTTCCTAATCCCTGCAAAATCTCCTCTTTGTCCATGACCCATCTTGGTCCTGAGTCCATAAAACATCATCTTCCCTCTAGCAGCCAAACAATGAAAACAGGGCTTCTCCTGAAAAATGAGGAAATATTAAATAGGTTACAATTTAAAAATTAATGAAAATTTGCTGATTAGCATATTTTAGATCCTGGTGTAATACCCCTCCCTCCACCTCACCTTATGGAAACCTGAATTAGCTCTGTCATACCCTTGGGTTAATATTCATCCATCTGAAATCTGGCAGTCACATCCCTGCCCCTCAAGACCTCTCTACCCGGGTGCAAATACAGTGAATCTCTCCTGACTTTCATGCCATCTCAGTAGATTTCCACACGTTGTAGCCAAGCTGGGGATTTGGCCCAGTGTCTTTTTTAAACCCTGTGACCCAGACGTGGAGATTAAAAAAGAGTTTATGTTATCGGATTAAACAGATACAAGAGGCACTCGCTGTATCAGCATCCAACACCTTAAAACTCCAGCAAGTACATCAGCATGGTAATGGCAAAAATAGTCTCTGAGAAAGAGGGAGAACTCAAAGGAAGGTGATGGCAAACCCTTCCTTTGGACTGGGGTGCAGAAACCTGCCACTGTGACTGGTTGCCAAAGCAGCCACAGGGATATGGTATTCTGCTTGCTACAGCAGATACAGGATAAACTCGAGGTATAAAAGTCATTTGAACTCCACCTACCTGTAGCCAGAGTGATTTTGGCCTTAGTTAGGTTTGGGTAAATGTCTTCACAGTGGGGTTTATAAGGGGTTAGGCTTGACTGCGTTACAAACTGCATCAGCAGACACTGAAATCAATAAAGCTGCAGAAGCAAAAATTTTAACAGATTGAAAACAGACCTACATGAAAAGGATAGTAATGTCAGGCACCATTTGTATGCTTAATAATATACACATGCTTATGCTTTGTAATTTGGGCTCTAACTTGTGATTTTGGTTACATAAGAGTGGAAAAGCCAGAAGCACTAGTGCTGCTGTGCACCACTGCAGCTGAAGGCAGAGTTTGCCCAAATATTCATCAGGCACATTCTCAGAAGTTGTGTTGTCTCATAATGAAATAGCAAATAGCAATGTGCACATTTATGACACAAAAGGGCATTATTATTATTATTATTATTATTATTATTATTATTATTATTATTATTATTAGTTCCAGGTACTGCTTCTGACTTCAAAACAGCTTTGGCTGTTGGTCTTTTACCCCAAACATTTTATGTTTAAACACATAGAACAACCATGTGTTTTGTGTGGCTCACTTTTAACGAGTGAGGAGCAACAGAAGAAGAGAGAGCAAGAGACAAAACACAGACTGATTCCTCTAGAGAACTACAGCAAAATATTCCACTGCTGTCAGTGGTACAGCTGTGCTGGCAGGATCCTTCACACAGACAAGGCTCCAGCCACTACTTACGTTTCACTGATGTGACTGCTGGCTCCTAATCTGCATCTAGGCATCCTCACTGCAACCAAACAAGTGGCTGAGCCGGTGAGAAACCTTTTGCTTCACTCCCTAGTGCAGCCAGAGCCGCCTGTTTGTGGTCCCTCGTGGAGCCTCACAAAATGTGAGCCGCCTCCTGCAAAGGATGCCTACGAATCAAAGTTGCAGTACACAAGAAATCTGAATCAGAAGACGTAGGTGGCAGCACGGACTTCATCCTTCGAGTTTAAACGAGGCTGTTCAGTGGAGATATGTCATCAATTAGCTGTGCATGTCCTGTCTCTATCTGGTTTTCTTCTAAAAACCTACTCACGTTCCAAATCAGCTCGGATACGGAAAATCACAGAGTGCACTGGAGTAAGGGAAAATCGGCTGCGTGACTGGCACAGGGTTTTTAGCAGCCTGTATTGCCATCAAAAGGTGTGCAGAATGGTGCAGCTTTTGCAAGAACTGGCTAAGGAAATCAGCTTTTTCTGAGACCTCCCTGGAGGCTGCTGTGATGGAATTTGATCCCCCCAGCAGCCTATAGGTTATGGGCCCCGGAGCTGGTTCCCCAGTAACTGCTGTCCTAGTTCGTGGTGTAGAAATTTAGCATCTTGTATTCGGGAAAACCTAGAGAGCAGAGGCTATTCACTCTCCTTTGGTCCATCCCTCCTGTACCCAGTGCAAGGTTAGCACCGTGGGACTTCTGTGAAACACAGATGGCCCAAAATCTCCTTTTCACCACAACTGTACCCTCACAATGCAAATGGTATTCTGCAGTACAGAGGCTCTTACTAAGTCTTCAGCAGGGGTTATCTGAAAATGCCGAGACACTGCCGCTGTATCCTTTCATTAAGAGAACCAGGGGGATGCAGGTAGGAGAGCAAGGACGTGTTTGAGTCATATACCCGTTCGCCTGCAGGGGAAGAGGACCGGCTTTCGGTTCTGTGAAACCCGACGCAAAACAGAACGTTGCCCTGCCCGTTTTCCCCGCCGATCGCCCCGGCCGTACTTTGTTCTCCCGCTGCGACCGGGACTTTGCGGAGCCGGGGATCGCGCTTTAGGCAGGCGGCAGGGCAGAGCAGGGACATCCCAGCCTCCCAGGCACCTGCCAGACCACGCTCCCGTGTTGCCTCCTCCAGCAGCAGACGGCTCCGGGACCAAACCTGTCCCCAAAGCTGGCAGAGCGGCACCGGGTCCAGAGTCCAGTCCCCTGGGGGGGCCGGGGAGAAAAAGCGGCTGCGGAGCAGCAAAACCAGGGCGCAGAAGCAGGGACGGGCAGCGGCGGTGACAGCGCGGTGGGATGCTTTTTCTGTGAGAAGGACACTCTTTGTGTAAAGATGAAAAAATAACGATTAAAAAAAAATGTACGGAAATGAGAAATACCGAGACGAGACGGGCGGCTGGGAGCCCTCGCTCGGCGGGCCGGGTCCCTCGGGCCGGCTCGGGGCGGCCCCGCGGCCGCTCCCGCTGCCCGCGGCAGCCGCGGGGGACGGCGGCCGGCCCGGGCGGCCCCCCCGGCCCCGCACCCGCCCGCCCCTCCCCGCCGGCCCGCGGCCGCCTGCCAGCCCGGGCTCCGCCGCCGTGTCTGCGGCATGGCCCCTCCTCCCCCACACCCCTTCCTTTAGGCTCCCCCCTCCCCAGCAAAGAAGAGGCCGTGCCGGTGTTTTTCCACTCAGCAGGATGGGTGATGCTCAAAGCTCCCTCATTAGACAACAGACACGAGAGGTCAGGAAGAAAGCGCTTATAAATTACCGTTTCCTCCTGCTCGGCGCTGCTAGTCGCGCCGCACCGCTCCGCCGGACGCGCCGCACCGCCGCAGGGGCGCAGCGGCGCGCAGGCACCGCGGCCAGCGGACACAGGTACCGGCTCCTCCCGGGCGGGACGGAGGGCGGGCGGGCGGTGGGGCTGCCGCTGCTGCTGCCGCCGCTGCCGCCGCTGCCGCCGCCGCTGCCGCCGCTGCCGCCGCTGCCGCTGCGGTGGTGGCGGTGGCGGAGCGGCGCGGATCGCCCCTCGCAGCCGCGGCGAACAAAGGGGCGGCCGCTCCGCGCCCAGCGGAGCCGAACCGAGCCGGGCCGGTGGCGGTGGCATCCTTTGTCCGCCTCGACTCGGGGTGCCCTCGGGTGCGCTTTCCCTTCCCCCCTTCCATTTATGTATTATTTCATCCTTCTCCTTAAAGCCCCCTCTTCGCCAGCTCTCGCATTACCTCCGCGGTGTTTTTCCTCCCCAGAGGTTGTTTACCCCACACCCCCCCACACCTTGCGTTAACTTTTTTTGGCGATAAGGTTCTCAGCCATTCCCCGTTGGCGGCCCTCCAGCACATCGACAGCGCACGCTTCTCTCCCCGGCTATTTTTGCCCATTTTTTCTGCCACCCCTCCCCACTGTGCATTCTCTATCTGCCGTGCGCTAACCTCGAGTGAAGAGACTGGTACAGGCAATGCTACATCTGATGCTAATGGGCCTACCTGGTGGGTAATACCGCTGCTGCTGCTTTCTTGTGATTTCCCTCGTTTTCTTTTTTATTCTCTTCATTTTCCTTTTATTTTGTGTGTTCTCGACGTGCTGAAATCAAAGTAGTGATGGGGCTTGGAAATAAAATACAGGGACTACACAGGGCATGTTACCAAGCTCAGCATGGTGCGAAGAGGTGATAATTCTGGGTTCGTCTGGGGGTAACTTGGATCCAAAATTCACCCACTGGCTTTAAGATAATGAATGCCCGTTGCTGCCTGGTATTATAGCAGGAGGTATGTGGGAGGACTCACAAGGTTTCCATATAAGAGCATGGGAGAATTTATTTCACCCAGGCGAAGAAATGTGCAGAGTATGTGTTATTTATGACACTGAAAGCAAGCTGTGTTGTTCTTAGGCAGCTCCAAGAGTGGCAAAACTTGGTATTTAGAAATTGTAGAAGCTGATTTCTGCTGTTTAATAAGAACTATGTTTAAAGGGAAGCAGGGATGAAAATAAAAAACAGGAAAAAGTAGTGGTAGAGGACCCAGATAAACACCAAGAAATACAACGCCACACTTATTCCAGCACAGTTTGTGCCAAGGTGTAAAAAGATGGAGGTTTTTGATGAGTTCCCATGTTTTTTAACCGTATTGGGAAAGGCATTAAGAAAATGTGCCGAGAGGAGCTGGTTACGTTGATAGTGCTATTTTGGTAACTGCATTTTTTTTTATTGCTTGCATGTGAAAATGTTTTGAGTTTTGGACTAGCAAAACAGCAAGGCAGTCCTGACGGGGACACATGTCATCAGCTGTGTAATTCAGGGCTCGGATGACAGTTGCTACCAGTTTAGGTTTTATGGCTTTAGGTTTGAGGGTAAATCAGCCCGTTAAAACCTGCTGCTGTGGAATTTTGATGGGAGAGGCTTTGGTGAAAACTCTGATGGTTGTTGACAGCCGGGTGTTTACCTCTGGGTCTGCGTTCAGCCGAGCTGACTGCTTTCTGGCACTGCCTACCTTTGCCACAAGTGTTACGGAAAGGTTTCCTTGAAGGTTATTGGGGGTTTTTTTAAGCAAAATGTGTGAGCAGCTGAGGCAGCCAGCAGCGTGACAGTGACAGCGTCCCTTGCCCGGACCAAGCCGAGTCTGAAGCACGAGTGAGGAAGGAGGATGTCTGTGCTGCTCTCGTTAAACTGACATTGGAAACTTCATTTCTGGTACTTTCAGAGATAGTATCTTCCCGTCTCCCCTTCAGCTGTCTCTTAGGTAACATGCTTTGCATGTTCTCTTTTTGTCTTTTTTCTGTTTATTTGCCTTTCACCTCTGTCCCTTCCCCTTCCCACCTCTCCTGCCTCGGTGCCCAGCGCAGTTCCCACTGGAGGGCAGCAGACAGACAGACAGACACCTTTCCCCTGCCTGGGGCTGCCCGGGCACCCCGACCCGCGGCCGCTTCTTGCTGACATTGATGAACCTGCTCCTTTCACCTGCGCTGTCGGGGCTCCTTTCTCTCATACTTGCCAAAAAGCAGGAGGTCGCAGGTGGCATCGTGACACCTTTAGGCCCCGAGAAGGTGGATGTGTACTCAGGGGTGCTGCATTGAAATCCTGGGGTATTTGGTTTGTTTGCTTAAGGAATCTTGGTTTGGAATCTTTCAAATGCTACAGACTTCTGTTTTATTTTCTTTTTCTGTAACCGGAAACAAAATTTGGCATACGGCTCTTCATTGGTGGCTTCAAATGTGGAGCTTTTGTGTGGGTTGCCTGGAGCTTTCATGTCAGAGGTGAAATGCTGGGGCAATGGCAGGAGACCTCAGTCGTGTGAAGTGCTGGCAGAAAAGAGGTGCCACATTGTCCTGGAAAACTAGGAAGACACTTTAGGTTGGCTGGCTCTTGCTGCAGAGTGTTTGGGAACTCTCCCATGCCTGAGTGGAGTTCTGTTTGTAAAGTCTTGGTGAGGATCTTGTCCTACAGCTAATCATTGCTAATATTTCAGTGAGGGTTTTTTAAAATCAATATTCTTAGTATATCTTAGTGGCTTCCAGCCAGGTCCTATGGGCTGGATGTTTCCAAAGAGACTCTTGAGCACTTTCCAGACAGTGATATTCCTAGGATTTTCATTAATGTGCATCAAGGCTTAGCAGCACCCCCCTATTATTTTAATTTTGTCCCTTCTATTTTCCAATGCCCCATATTTTTGTCCCAGTGGGCAGTGGGGCAATGTTGCACCAATGCCCCAATGGCAGTGCTGCCAGTTCCACCAGTAAGGGGAGTCTCTGAAGTGGTGCCCTACCTGGGGTTTTAATCATGCTGGCAAACAACTCTGAAAAGATTATGCTGATTAGTTTTTTATAAATTAAACCATATTACAACACTTAAAAATGGATGGGAAAGCCATGGTAGTTGTAGCCTTTTGTACGTAATGTTTATTTGATTGGTCATATGAACAAATTGTAGATCATTTAAGAAGTGAAGCTTTGAATAGATTACCCAGTCGGATTAGTGCCCTTGACTTCTTTTCATCACTAACTTAATGACCAGAATGGATCAGGGTTATTTATTTTAAAAGTAATCCTGTGTCTGCTCCAGTAAGAGCTCTATACACAGAACTAAAATTTATTCTAATGGCACTCTAGGGGGGCTGCTTGTAGGATTGGGTCCTTGGCCCTTGGAAGAAAAGCATGAGGATGAAAATACAGTGATTTGGTATTTGTTGAATCTCTTTCATACATACCTATTTAATTGAATCCTCAGCTGTTGTAGTGCCATGGATTTAATTGATTTGTGTGAGCTTTGTTTACATCCCAAGGCATGTAAACTTTATATTACTTACATAGTAGCTAATATTGATACAAGGTAATACAGAAGAAATTAATTGAACATTCCATTCTTCACTGCTCATTTTTCCCCAAAAACCTGCTGTTGGAAGGGCTGTTTTGCTGCCAGTCCATGACTCTGAAACCATGGCTGGTGTCCTGCAGCATCCTCTGTATTTCTGTTAGTTTCTTTTTTTTTTTCTCCAATGTGTCCAGATTTACACCAGCAAAAGGCCATTTAGTGCCAGCCCTAAACCCTGTTCCAGGAGCATCCGCCGACCCCAGCTGAGCTGGTGGAAGTGTGAATCACATGCCAGCAAGCTTCGGGTGGGTGGCAGCAGGGTGGCAGTCCCGTAGCTGCAGGAGGTGGCTGTTAGGGCCTGTTGGGAAGGTTCCCCATTTCAGCAGTTACTGGGTTTCCTGTTGTGGTTCTCTGTCACTCAGAATTGTCACAGCCTCGAAGGACACCTTCGCTGCTGTGGCTGCCCAGCCTGGGTTTGAATGCAGTCAGTGCTTGAGCCCTGCTGGAAAAACAACCCTGCAGGGCCAAAATGCAGTAGGAGGGTCCTGCTTCACCGTGTTGGTGTAAGTCCCATGTCCATAGGTAGGAGAACAACCCATACACTGAGCCATGGGGTTATCACTGAGCTGGAATGTAGTTAAAAGTTCTTTTATTTCATTTTTTGATCCAGATTACATGGCATTTGTATTTTATTTCACTGATGCAGTGTAATTGTCCTGCTATTTAGAGGGATATCTCCTGTGATGTTCTATATAGAATGATCTCCTGTTTTGACATTGGTACTACATTCAGTGTTTTGGTGTTCTTCAAATAGAAGTTTTTACTGATGAAATTCAGAAAATACAGTGCATTATAGCATTGAAACATGTCTGACTTATTTTGCTGGACCCATTTTTTTCCTTTAAAATATTTTTTCCCTTTTCTTTTTCTCTTTTTTTTTTTTTTTCCAAACAGGAAAAGAAAATACATTCAGCAGAGATTCTTCTTCATGTAAGTGTTATTTATGCTTGTTTATGAAATTTCAAAAAGGCTGAAAAAAACTCATTAAAACATTCAAATACTGAACAGTTACCATCTGTTTGTGAAATCAAGTATAGAGCATGTAAAAATAGGCTGCAGTTATACAGCAATAATGCTCAGCAACTGATGTCTTAAATCTGTCTGTGCAGTTCTTCTGTGTGTATCAC